AGAGTTATAAGCACTACAACGTAGCTGAGAAACCCTTCTTATATGGTGTATTCACGATTTAGGTTGTTAGGCAGCGGGCACTTTATGAAATGTTGCTTCAATTAATGAATTTCGCATGCCAAAATATAAAAAAAGTTCGATAAAAACTGTGCTTAGTCGAAATATTACTCGATTTTTTTTCTATGAGCATTTTAGATCTTCCTCATTATGAGCAATCAGTCATTGTGACCACTTTTGAATTGAAGAATAAAGTCTTTGGAGTTATCAATGCTTTTGGAATGCTCCCCGGCATACGAGCTCTATTCAAAATCGTAATGGCGATGTGTGTGGCCTACAGAATGAATTGCGGTGGTCAGCCGATGTACAAGTCAGTGCTTTTATCCTTCCTAATCTGGTACCAATTAATCGACCTCAGAGGGATGGGAAGCTCGGTCAGCCTGATCGAGTATTCGATACGTGGTTCAACCCGGGATCCTGTGTGTGTGAACAGTGTGCCACTTGCCACCACACCATTTCTGCCCAGTGCAGAAATAAGATCAATAAAAAACTGATTGAATAAGAATAATATGGAAGTAATAGAGTGGAGCGAATCATTCATCGCTAAGTGTCCATCAAGCAGCCACGCGAAACGGGAAAACAAAAGCAAAATACCGTTTTTATAGTCAGTAACCTTATAAGGGAACTGTGAAACGGTGATTATTATTTTTCCTTTTCTTTCGGTATTTTGATAAACGAGATGAAATCCGTCGAACAAGCCCTCAAATCTACTCAAACGTTTTAGAGGGAAAAGCTCGAAAGATTTCTTTCTGGCTATGGAAACATTTTGAGAAGAAGGCTTTGACATCCCCTTTTTATTCTCTCAGACTACTCTGCTGTCATGCAGAAATTTCAGTTTTTTGGATTTTTGGTTTTGGCTTTTTTGGTTTTTTTGGATTATGCAAATTTTCAACTCAACGGAATACTTTCTAGTTGCTCTCATTACACCCTAATTATTTAGTTAGCGGGAAGGCAAGAAAGAAAATAAGCTTCAATCATGGAATTTGAATTTCGTGGGCAAGAATTGTAAACAAATGCTTCCACGTAAATCGATCCTTAGATCTGCTATCAAGTTTAATTTTTGAACTTGAAACATGGATCCTTTTCTTGAGAAAAAAAGATTTTTGAAATTTCCCTGAGCTTCTGATGCTCTGTCCATCTTTTTTGATAGATGATTTTTGAGCCACTTCATAGATTTGAGGCAAAAAAACAAACTCTCAAGGCTCCGGCCAAGATACACCTGGGATGGACCTTCTAGCCCTAACTTAATCAAGAAACCCAAGACTCGGAACGTAATTCATGGTGTGATTGCCTGATTCAGACGGCATTTTTCGAAAAATCGGGTTCGTTGGGTGCAACTGAAGTTTGATGCTAAATATAATAGCACCAATCAAGAAGAGGCTCTTCAGTTGCATCATAATCAAATGTGACGATGAACGTTGTAGCAGTGACGTCTTCAACATCTTGAAAAACTTCCTAGTTCGGAGGCTCTCTCGCTGATGCAGTTTGTGACGTAAAAGACAAGGACGAAAAATCTTATCAATCTTAAGTTTCTTCGAAACACTGGTTTTTTTCGCATTCGAGGGCATTTTTTATCATTTAGGGGATTCTGCAGAGAATATTTAAGCTACACAACCGGAGTTCAATTTTAAAGCAATGATGTTTTTTATATTTTTCTCGATAACTCTTCTTAGCGGGCAAGAAACAAAGCCCTGATATGTATGTATTGGACTGCCTTCCAGTGGGAAGCTTAAAAAGGCCAAAATTGTAATCGCATAGGAATATCTCCGGCTTAGCCAGAGTAGTATACTCGTGCTAGTGACAGATTTCAACTAATTCCGGAGTCGAACTTTGTCCAAACAACCAAAGTTCACCCCTGTTTTCTTTTTGTCCTGGCTACATTGACAGAGTAACAGTGCTCAAACACTCCATTCCAGGAGGCTTTGGAGGCTAAATGAATAAAAAAGAATATAGTGAGCTTCTGCTTTTGTGCTCTCACTCATCGCCTCTCGTCAAGCTAATTCAGGATGCAGCGGAAAAAATAAGGCAACCGGGCAGTGCGTCACAATCATGCGCATGGCTCGTTTGCCAAAGTTTCATCAGATCCCACAATTGCTGCATTGTAAAAATATCCCGGGTGATTAAAAGTTCAGGCAAACTATCTATCACTAGATTCGTTGGAGCAGAATCACCTGTCATTCAGTGGATGGTAACCGTCGTGATGCAGACCAGTTCTCTGTCAAAATCTGTCATCGTTCAGAAATGGCTCTTGAGTGAGCGGCGCGGCGCATCCCAAAGCAGATTAATTTATGTCACACGTGCTTTCTTTTCTTTCGAGAAGATCTGGTCTGATTTGACTCCAATTCACTATTCATCACCTCTCTTTTTCCCTAATCTTCTGAAAATGTCGGTTCCTTTCACTGCAAACTTGCTTATTATGTGGACCCAACGTCCTAACGCTGTAATATTGCCAGANTCTCTGTCAAAATCTGTCATCGTTCAGAAATGGCTCTTGAGTGAGCGGCGCGGCGCATCCCAAAGCAGATTAATTTATGTCACATGTGCTTTCTTTCGAGAAAATCTGGTCTGATTTGACTCCAATTCACTATTCATCACCTCTCTTTTTCCCTAATCTTCTGAAAATGTCGGTTCCTTTCACTGCAAACTTGCTTATTATGTGGACCCAACGTCCTAACGCTGTAATATTGCCAGAGCCCATTTGTTGAAAAGTCAAATCTGAACTAAACTGTGTCATGGTAACAAGAGGTATCATCAAGAAACTAACAGATTCTGGCTGGCTCATTTATTATCTTCTCCGACACATAACAGTCTTATGGGGCGTAGGTGGGATGATGTCAAGTGGTGTGGTATCACTCGGATAGGCCAGAGGTCATAGTATCTCGAAGCAACACCTGATCATGACAATCAAGCGTTCCATTCCTACTGCGTTGATTAATCGTAGTAGGGGTGTAACGTTCGTCTCGTCTGGAGGGGTTGAAAGCTGACCGGTAAACCGACTGACTCCCACAAAAGAATATTTGGAGCAAGTGCGCGTACAAATCACGCTGAGATTCTGGAGGAAATTTGAATGCATGGTCCACTCCTGGGTGTCCAACTTCAAAAATTTTTAGTGTTTATCCTTCTTTGAAACTCATACGGCTGTGATCAGATGGTTGTGCTTGGATGAGCCGTGTATTTGTTGGTGTCTTTATACTTATAGGACACTGAAACTATCGAGACTTTTAGTTTCTGGTCACCAAGATGTCTCCTCTACCACAGCATTCATCTCCGCTCATTATTTTCTGCTACCCACGTTTCCGATTTTCTTTTCATTTACATCAGACCTATATACCTGAAACAGAATCGTGTAGAGTACCGTATTCCAAGCTAATATTTCACACCTGAGAAGTCACAGAGAGCTTCTATCCAAGCCCGATTGTTTTATATGCAATGCATGTACATATTCCTCAACACGCTCTTTTTTACTCCCACTCCGCCTCCTACTCGTGCTCAGAAATTTACATGATACGTCGTCTCACACCACATGTCCTTTCGCATTATAGACCACGCCCCCAAGTGCTGGGGTGTATGTACATAAGCCAGCCAAAGAAGACTACAAGCTCAATACAACCTTGTACAGCTCGCTTCAAGCGACTTTCCGATAGCTGAAGAATCTCGACATGGGATCCAGTGGTAGTAAACCCTACGTGACATACTACGAGCCTCGTCGACGGCGATATGGTGAGTTGCTTTTCATGTTCGCCTTCTTTGCTCTCAGTTCATATTAAAGCTTTTACGCACCGATTTATAGTTTTTATCGTGTATTTAGCGAAAATGAGGTTTCGTTAGGTAGTATCCTCGTCGACGGACTATATCGACTCTAGGATGGTAATTGACTCTTCTCTAGGGTGGTAGTTGTCTTGATTCCTTGGCTTTTTGACAGAAGTAGGATGAGAGAACCTGGACACCAACCTATGCGTCCGGTTATTCATAGTCCCTCAGATACGCCCTATCCACCTTTCACTCATAATCGAAACAGCAACTGGTAGATGCTCAAATCCCGAAAGGATGCCCACCGTCCGATCTCAGTGACAGAGTTTTACGGATTATCAGGACCGATCCCAGAATGAAAGAATGGTCCTTTGGTCTCATCGGTGAGAGTCTGACCTCAGTTTTTTCAAACTGTCTCAGCAGATAGAAATTATTCTGTCCCTTACTTTCGCGCTTGAGAGGCGTGTTCCCAGATGATCCGACTTTCCGAGAAACACTTTGTTCCTTTCCAATAAATTTCATAGCTCATTAGTTCAGTATGAAAGGCATGGCTTTGTCTAGACTTGATGTTCTTTATTGACATACATAGTGGCCTCAGTAATTACTCGGTAATTTTCTTTTGCTTGCAGCTTCACTCAGAATTTCAGAGTCGCTTAATTATCCAGACCTCGTGCTTGTTGCTCGCTCTTAATAGTAGTGGCTGACTACTGTAGCTTATACTCTTCTTGTTCAAAGGTCGTGTACACTCGATAGAAAGATGTTCAGACAAAGGAATTCCTGCAGAAGTTTGGCTAAGCCTGATCGCTATGGGGTCAGCGACTGTGTCCTGAAAATTGAGATTACCTCTACCTATTATCTCAGCTGAAGGGCTCAACGATGTGGACCATTATTGCGATTGTTGCAACAGCGACTTCGAATTCTCTGGGAGATGGGGATTTGCTGTGTTAGCAATAATCCAGAGTAATGGTCCACAAGAGTAAAGACACCGAAGGGTGTATATGCCATAGCCTCCGCGAGGAGTTGCTTTCGTCCTGCCCATCCTTGGAAGGACAAAGTCCCCCTGGAAAAGAACTTGCCCCTTTACTGGTATGAGTCGAAAAGGGCTCTTACAGTACATTTCACGGTGGTAACCACTTTCTCCTGAGATATCCCACGGTGGGAGCTTAGTTACTGGCATTTAGATGCTAACACCCATGAAACAGAGTTTCCGTAAGACCATAAAAGATGTTTTCAGACGGAGGCAGAAGTATGTATTGTAGATGACAACACATTAATCATTCGTTTTCTAGTAGCCCCTGTTTACCAGTTATGTGTTTACTTATACTCTGAAAAACTTGTGTACATCATAAACTGCTTTATGCAACTTTGCACAACATTAAACTTTACTAATAATGTTTACGTTTAGATGTGGGTAGCAATTACTCGAAAGAATACTGCCAGTATTGGACAGCATCATCAAATGCTAGGGACTCGAATTTCGCTATGGAAAAGAATGCGTTCTCGTTTTCGGCTAATGATGATCGTTAGTTTTATTTTTCATATCATGATTACTTTTTAATCTAACGTATCAAATAATAATTGATTCATTAACAAATTGAATCTAAATTTCTCAGCTTTTTCTTGTTATTTCACTTTTTTCGAAACCCCTTTGCTCAGGAGAAAATGTGGGGCTAATTAGAAACATGGTTCTACTGTAGAAAAAATAAGGGAAAAAATGGAGTCGGATTGGGAAATTGCTAGGAGGCGGTCACTGAAGTATCAGGGGAAGTTCAGGAAAAACGTGGGGAAATATAGTTCTTTCTTGGTTTCACGAGACACCAAAAGAGAAGGCAATTTGAGCTTCCCCAGCTTTTTAATGACTTTCGCTAAAAGCATTCATTAACCATAATTAAAAGTTTCCTTTGAGTATTGTATTTCCTCATGATAGACTTAATCTAATAGAAATGACAAGTTTTTCTTGAGTGGATTGGAAAAACTTTCTTTATGCTCGGTTCGCGGAGAGTCGAACCTCTTCTAATTCATTTTATATTCTATCCTACTGTTGCCCAAAACTCAGTGGTATTCTTCGCCAGTACAGAGGTGGTGTAGTGGAAATCGGTGCGCTATTACGCACGTATGGTCCAAGGATCGAACCCAGAACAGATATTCGCTTAAGCTGACCAAGTCTTCTAGCCCTCTAAGGTCGATTGATTGGTATTAGACTCACATGGGAAGATGGATGAACTGACTTGTAGATCGGGGGCGGGAAAGTGGTCAATGTATCGGTCAAATACACATTCATTGAGCCACTTTGATTCTGACTGGAAGTCAAATGCAGGGGCCCATCCCAAGGAGGGTTTTATAATATTAAAGCCAGGAATTACCTCCTTTTAAATCCTTCGGGAGTTCTTCTCATGTTAGTATAAGAAGGGTAACCAAAATACATCTCAACCTCTCCGACTACGCTTTGGTGATTATGTCGTTCGACAGAATGAAGGTAGTGATTAAAAAGCGGATTACAAGAGTTTTTCGTTGAACATGTGCTACAATGTCGTTTTGTCCCATATGGTTGAGCAAATATAATCACATTATAATGGATTTTAAGCTTCATAGGAAAAATCCGCTCCCCTTCACCTCCTGCTACCTTTCATCAAGAGCCGCTCTTGAATCAAAAGTCTGCTTTCAATGTGACTGATTCACCAGTAATAGAGCCAATCAAAGGCCTACGAAACCTAATTCTTTTACTGATAATTTTTAATGAACGGATAAGTAGAGCGCCTCAAGCTAAGAAATCTCACGAAAGCAGGTGTTTATTCCTGTTCCTGACCATAATTTGACAAAAACTCTGGCAAAAACCGAAAGACCAAGACAAGAACTGATGGACCCCTCAGTGCTCATCTCCGCTGTATCCGATTGCAATTTATCAGAACCCTTTCCCAAGTTTAGCTCTATTGCACCACTCAAATAAGTTTATAGCCCCTCTAGTGCTTTGACACTTCTCCACTGGTTTTCTAAATCCGGCCATAGCATCAAGTTAAGCTTCTGAATAATGCTCTATAAAGGCCCACGACGGCGACAATCTGATTATTCGACCAAAAGTCCTGTGGTCGAAGAACTCATTTTTGATCGGGAACTTTGAGTTTGAGGGAATGTTTACAACTTCGCAACTGCTCTGTGGTCAAAGTTGTAAACATTAAAGAATCAAATGGCCATAACAATTATTCAGATATTCTTTTCCCCTTAATATACAAAGTTTGTCTGAATATAAATTTCTTCCCTTGTTGATGTAGCCGGAGAATATTATTCTTGCTCCTAATAACATGATAATACATGCTAGTCTGTGATCATTGGTGGTTATAGTACTAAAGCTACGGTAATAGCTGAAAGTACTGTGCGATAATGCTCGAAAAACGGAAGTTCCGGTTGGATTCTTCGTGGATTCGGGCATATCTTTTCCCTAATTTAGCGTCCATGTCGTCAAAAAGGTTTACAGATGGTTTCTTGGGCTAGCTTTTACGAATAATACTTGATGCTAATATGTGATAACAAGTGTTCCTGTGAAAAAGTAGAGAGATAGTAAAAATGTCATTTGCAATGAATATAAAAGCAGCAATAATACCGATGTAAGATTGATTCGATTATGTCGTTAATGTTTTACTTCACTGTATTGTTATAACGCACCGCTACGTGCATCAAAATAAATAAATAAATAAAAGCTCTCAAAAATTGAGGCTGGACTGTACAGAATATTTTCTACTTGTCGATACAATTTTTTAGATTTTTTAATGACGCAGTCTAAGGATTCATTTCAGTTTCACCTCTGAAAGACAGCCGACGGTACTCGCAATTTGTCTCGCCGTTCAGTAAATCCTAGCGATACGGAATAGAGTGAAGACAGCACTTCATCCGTCGGACTCTGACCAATTTCTCGTTACTTTCATTGTTTGTACATAATGTATTTTTCATACGCACCATATCAAGCCTTTGTGATGGTCTTGAATGGAATTTTTCTCTCAGCTATTTGTTTGAGTCTCAGGTTCATTAATAAACGATGAACGCTCTCAGTTGGGAATTTGTCATAACAAAGCAACAGGAACTAAATAATAATCAGACTAGGAGGCCATAAATCACGAACAGAAGAGAAACTTTCTTTACTCGGTGAGTCTCTATCCCTGGTATACGCCAAGCTCTCGGCAGCCATTGAAAACTATGGTACAATTGATTTCGCGATTGCTTGAGCCGAATTTGCCTTACAGCAAATCTTATGTGAGTAGTAAGAGCCGTGGGTACTACACGTAGGATAGAATCGTAGAATCTTATTAACTTAAGAGCACAGGCTTTGATTTGAACCTCAGCAATCCATTGTACATCTTACATAACTACAAGTTCGAATCTGTGTGGCATCACAATCTCCAATGGAAAACCAATGTGGGTGTATACCAGAACTGCACAGACCACATCAAAGAAGGTTATTTTTCGCTTTGGTCCTGGAATCTTCTATGGCCTAGCAGGTAAAGTATAAAAGGATAAAGTTTTTGGCGTTAATCAATCCCGTCTGAGCGATGCGCCCCCGCACTCGACTTCCATTCAGAATCGTGGTGGCGTAATGAGTGNTCATATAGTGCGCCACTTGCCATCACACCACCTCCGCCCTGGCAGGTACGAGCATAAATCCTTCATATTCTCGAATGTGTATCTAGAACTATTTTGTTGTCCTTGGTGAAGTTGAAGATTCTGCACCAGCGATGGTCACCGTTTAACAGAGAAAGTAAAGGAAAGCCGATGCTAAGGAATTTGAGTATTACGCCGTAATAATGGATGATAATAAGAGATTTCTACGGAGTCGTTGCATTGGTCAACGCTCCAACCCCTACAATTTCTTGGATTTTAGGCGAGTGGTCTCTCTGCAAAAAGGTGCAGAAGATCGAGAACTACTTAGCAAACCCTTCAATGTAATGCACAAAGGGTAAACAACAACAACAACACAGTTGCACTCTGTTGTTTGTCCTACCCTGATTACATCATAAGGATTGAGGACTACCTAGACCGATAAAGCTCAGATCTCATGGAAGGTTGAAAAAGACCTCAAAAGATATGGCCTACCGGTCTGGATGACGTTTTTGCATAGAAAAGAACAGGTGTTTAATAGAATGCTACAGTTTACTTGGAGCCCCTGTTTACAATGATTCCGTCAATGTTTCCAGATTTTTGATCCCAGATAAATAGATGTTTTTGAGAACATTCTCTTATGTCAACTTCGTTCAGACCGAGGTTGCTTGATCTAATGAACACCCTGTTTTCTGATGATGTGATGCTAGGCTAGAGACGACTCCTCGTGCCAGCAAAGTTTGTCTGAATCAATTAAGAAGAGTTTCGACGAACTAAGGACCCCTACCAACAACGAACTTCTAGGAACTCTTAGGAGGGGAACTTACTCTTACTCTTAGGAAAAACAAGAAACAGTGTTCGGTGGGGAGATCAACAACTTTGAATGTGCACCCTCTGTTGAGATTTCTTTTCTAATAATTAGAGTTTTCATTCGATCAGCAGGCTAAATGAACGTTACTTCCTGAATCGCTTGAAACTCCTTGAGACATTTGGGTAGGCCAACCATCTGTTGGGCTGGTGTCAACTTGGGGCCTCGTTTGGGGACCATGCATAAAATAGTGAGCCCTTGGTCAATGCTATACAAGTTGATTGCCCCGGGTTCGGTGGCCTTTTTGTTATTAAGTTTGGTTTATTAGCGTAAAGTCGTTTACCCTTCGACGTACTGGTCTAGAAGGAAAGTTAGTCGCGTGAGCTTCACGATCCATGGCAACAACGAGGTTCTTTTGATAATGACCAGTACGAAAACTTGTGTAAGCCAACGATATTCTTGAGCCAACGATATGACCACAGCTTGAGAGTCCATGAGGAGAAGTGGAAAAGAAATAGCGAATTGCTAATGTTGGGCTTCGAATGGCGTCAAAGATCATCTGAAAATCACGAGGAAGCAATAAGAAGGATGCTATTCATCTTGTTCACTCAGTCACTACAGGGAGCTCCTAGATCTTAAAGTGGAGCAAAAAACAAACGGGAGCTTTTTCAGTTTCGGGAGTACGTAAGGAAAGGTTGATTGATGAGGGAGAATAGGCGAGTAGGACCACCCTTCACTTTCTCATCAGAACTTTATTCAAATAATTCCAAGCTTGGCACCTTTCAGTGTCCCGGATTTTCGGCCCGCTGTATCGCTTGATTCACCGAGATCGAAACTGATTGCTTGCCAGTGGTAATGAACACCCTACTCATCCTTCCGCAAGTAAATAGGCTGGCAAGTGCGGTGGTTCTTGAACCCTGCGCCCTTTTTTTTCAAAATTTCATAGTTTTTTGGAACTTCGACTACTTCAATATTACGGGAAGAAGAAAAAGCTTCTCGACCTCATTGCCATCTACAACGTCTTCTATTAGCCACCAGGAAATTTGATTCCTTTCTCATCTGCCGGAAAAGCGCCAAAAGGTCAGGCAGAAAGCACGTTCGGATCTGCTGCTAAACCCTGACCATACTATAGCATTGAGTAGTGTTGGTACAACTTTGTACAAAGAAAAGTTTCACATTTTCAGAGGAAATCACAGAAGTTAGTTGATTTACATCATTTTGGAGGGCCTCATCCTGCAAATCACCTATATAATATTGGCCACATGGAGTTCGTTTCACTTCTATCGCCTTTGAAGTATAAACGAGACTGATTTTCTGAAGATTCTGTTCCCAGATAGATCACATTCAATAAGAATTTATGGTAGATGTTAGATGTTGACAATGTTCTCAATGACTTCCTATTCTCATGATTCACGTCAAAAAAAAAATGGCGTGCCAGTTGTTACGCGGCCTTTACACCGAGGTTACCCAGTCTTCGAACTTTTAGT